TGATCCTGGCTCCAAGTCATTATACCATGAACTTTCCCTACAGTAAATATGTAGGACTTTTGTGTCACTATTAACTGCTTCTGCTGTCTCTTTTGGGCTGTATCATTTTGCTGGGTCCTAAAATGTTTCTCCATGCCTCTACTTCTTTCAAAATGCTCTTCTGCACTACCTAAAACTCTCCAGGTCAGGTTTTTTCCCCCACTAATGGGGAAACAATTGGCAAAGGGACAGGGTAAACCCAAAATCAAAGGAACAACTTAAAAATTTAACCTGAGATAATAATGCACTGGGCAAGACTTTCATTTTTTTAAAGATTTTATTTATTTGTCAGAAAGAGAGAGAGGCGGGCAGAGGGAGAAGCAGGCTCCCCGTTGAGCAAGGAGCCCAATGCAGGACTAGATCCCAGAACCCTGCGATCATGACCCAAGCCGAAGGCAGACGCTTAACCGACTGTGCCACCCAAGCGCCCTAAGACTTTCATTTAAATATTCACTATTCTATGTACTCTGCTTAGTAAAGTTCCCCAAATTACCATCTGAGGTATTCGTTCTTCTTATTTACCCATATACCAACTACTGTTCCATTAAAAAAAAAAATCTATCATTTCTTCCAACACGTGCTACCAAATGACAATTCTTCCTAGTTAATATCTTGGACAACACGGGTAAAAACTAAGTCAAGATGAGACTTCAAAATGCTCTTTGCCTTCAAGTATTACTAAGCTCTAATGACTAACTATAGACCTAAGCGTGAAAAGTGGCTTCAGGGGTGCCTCGGTGGTGCAGTCAGTTAAGCATCCAACTCTGGATGTCGGCTCAGGTCGTGATCTCCAGGTTGTGAGATCGAATCCCGCATCAGGCTCTGCGCTCAGTGGAGAGTCTGCCTGAGATTCTCTCTGTCCCTATCCCTCTGCCCCTCACTCTCTAAAAATAAATAAGTAAATAAAATCTTTAAAAAAAAAAATCAAGGCAAAAACTGTTGGTGAGTATTCACTGCACTCTGTTATTCAGTTCATGTACAGACAGCCAAGTGTGTAGCTGAGTTGCCTCCTTGTCTCCTGGTGATGAACGTATGTGACATTTTACAAAAATGAATAAGCAAAATAGGGAAAGAGCCAACAATGATGAAAGTGTATCAAAGAAACAAAAAGTGATAATATTGGAAGTGAAATTCCAATCAAACATAAAGTTATCAAAGAAATAGCTGACAATGACAATGTTGACTGCTGCCATTCAAGGAACTCTAGATATACAGCCAGAGGAACTTAGCAAAGGCAAACTTATCAACATAAATGAAAAAAGTGGTTGTGAGAAAAGGATGAAGATGGACCGGAAGAAGTAACAACAGCAAAAAAAACTCTGCATTAGAAGAACTCTCAGAGACATTTCACAATATTGAAAGTGCAAAGAGTAAAATGTTGAAACTGAACCAAACTTAGAAAGGAGTATGACAATTCATGAAGGCATAGAAAAATTACTCATTCCATATATGTTATATGACAAGAAAGCCAGCACTGTTCAAACTACTCTTGATTAGTTCTTTTACAAAGACATAACACATTTTAATTCTCAATGTTTTTAATGTTTTAAATTACAGTGTACTAAATAACAGTTTCGCTATTTTTTCATTTCTCTATATATGTTTATAACCAACAATAAGAGGGTTTACGGTGTTTGACAAAGAAATTTGAAGGTCACAGAACAATTGTAACTTTTCCCATTGATTAGTAAGACTACTTTGCCAGGTTTTAACTTGCATGGTCACTACCATAAAGAGTGAGGACTGTCTGTACCTATAACTTCTGCCACACCAAGGAACATATTATTTCACAATTATAATTAAGAGGAAAAACTCTACGTTTTCCCCTGTCCTTACAATCTGATCAAACAAAAAAGGAATTTGGAAAAAAAAAAAAGAAGAAGAATTTGAACTGATCTTGGGTGATATTAAAAAGGCAGATTTTCAGGTATTTCAGTCACTCAGAACTGCTTCCACATCTGAACGTCCAATTCCAGAAACTCATCTTTTTATTATTCAGAATATACACAGCCTAGTGCTAAAAGATAGGATTCTTGAATAATTATTCAATCTGTCCTTCTGATAGTGTACTATTTCACCTGTCCTCATACCTTGCATGCAGGGACAAAACAATGAAAGTGTGACAGAATATGGCATATAGTAGCTTTAGAATCAGACCTCAACCTGAATACTATCTCTACACCACATTTTGCAGCCTTAGGTAAAAAAATCAAAGAGGGGCACCTGGGTGGCTCAGTCAGTTGAGCGACTGACTCTTGATTTCTTGAAATCGGCTCAGGTCATGATCTCAGGGTCTGGGACTGAGCACCCCCATTCCAAGCTCAACAGGGAGTCTGCTTAAGATTCTCACTCTCTCCCTCCCCCTCTGCCCCTCCCCCCATCCCCACATGCAAGTGAGCGATCACTTGATCTGTCTCTTTCGCTCTCTCTCACTAAAATAATAAATCTTTAAAAGGAAAAAAAAGAATGAAAGAGAGAAGATAGATGAAGTGCTTAGCAAACAAAGTGTGGTACACAGTGAGCACTTAGATATGGCTATTATCTCCATTATTATCTTTAATAGTTCTATCATTAATGTAAATATTATAAGAATGATAAAACTACATTTTTTTAAAAAGATTTTTTATTTACTTATTTATTTGACAGAGAGAGAGACAGCGTGAGAGGGAACACAAGCAGGGGGAGTAGGAGAGGGAAAAGCAGGCTTCCCGCGGAGCAAAGAGCCTGATGCGGGGCTCGATCCTGGGCTTGATCCCAGGACCCTGAGATCATGACCTGAGCTGAAGGCAGACGCTTAACGACTGAGCCACCCAGGCGCCCCCTAAACACACCATTATTAACCAGCATATTTTTCGAAGATCAAGTTCTCTTACTCCAAAATATGACAGATACCCACTGCCTCCTGGATAAGAAGACTTGAACTCAACTTCCTCCCAATAATTTTCTCCCAAGGTACATGTGCAAAGGACAACCAACATTCACTTACCCTCTTCTTGCACCCCCTGATTACTATGTCAAAACCCTCCCTGCAGTCTGCTCAGTTTCCTCCTCTAAGGACAGTAAGACCAAAAGCCATTTCCCATTTCTCAGAGCTATCTGGAAGAACAGTAGTATCTTGCACTCTCATAGCTCACATGACTTAACTGTCAGTTTTCTCTTGATTCTAATCCTTGGTTCTAAACTAAGAGCCATTATTACCTATATCCACCCATAAATATGCAAAGGACCTAAAGGCCAACTAAAGCTAACCCCTTTTTTTTACTAAACAATTCTCCATAAAAAATTCATGTGAGTTAGCTGAGCAATGTCTGTTTCAAAACTTTCAGCGACCTCTAGCTCTCCTCAATCCATCCTATGATTCTTTGGTTTAAAAGCTCCCTTATGTTGAAGCAAAATCTCTCCGCTTACAGTTAGTTTCCACCCATATACTCTATTTCCACATTCTAGAGAAATACAGAAAGTTTAACTGCTCTATATGACTGACAGCCCATCCAAAATTTGAAGACCCCTGAGTTTCTCTTTTCCATGTTACACACTTCCAATTCACAAAGCATGGTTTTAAGTCTCTTCCTCTCATGGACCTTCTCTGGACCACGTATGGGCTTGCCAACATGACCTAACAGCAAATTGGTATAGCGCTTCCTTGCCAACATTTGGGCTGCCAAGTAATTACACTATAAATGATCACTTTGCCCATATACTTCCATTACTATGTAAAAAATTATTACTCTAAACTAGTAGTTCTGGATAAGTGACTCTCAGGATAAATCATGGTTTAAAAGGAATGGTTTAAAGTCTTGAACACTACTGAGAGTTCGGTGGTTTGTTTTTTTTTTTAATTTAGTCAATTACTGTGAAAACAATAAGGTAGGATCAGCTGGCATGAAACTCTTGCCTCTTTCTTACAAAGCCAAACAAATGCCTGGGGAAAGGACCCAACAATGGGTAGGTTAGCAAAGAAGAGTTGCTTCCTGTCCTGAGAAAGTGATTCCAATTAAAAGAAGAAATAGCCAAAAAAAAAACCCTCTGTACTTTGTCAGAAGCAGACAGGTACCCGAAGAAGGACCAAACATTGTGCTCTCAAAACTTAACCAAAGTAAACTGCATTAAAAAAAAAGTGGCAGATTTTTCCTGTACTCCCCTAGCCTAATGGAATAAGATCTGGTGAAACACACACCCACCCACCCACCCACACCCACCCAGGGGGAAACTGGGGCCTGTCAGGGGCAGCACCTGGAGAAGGATGTTCCCCGAGTCCTCAGAAGGTGCAATCAGTGGAAGTAGTGCCCTCAGATGAACCCTAACCCTTAGGTAGTCGTAAAGGAGGCAGAGTGGCGCAGGGACTTGGTCCCTTGTGCTCTTGAGAGCCTGGCACCTTCCCTGGAGGTGACCGAAGAGGTCCGGCGAGAACAGACAAAGAGGAAGGGAAAGATCTGGGAGCTTTCACGGTTGGGGTAAGACTAAGCTAGGACCTGTTCCTTTTTCCTGTGCCCTTAGGCCGAAGGTGGTGGCAGCGACAGTAGGAGCAGGTGTCCCGGGCCCTCATTCTAACGAGCAGAATCCTCCACTCTCCCAACCTCCTCTTGGGCCGCCCCAGCCTGCCCCACTCCTCCCCTCCGATAGGAATTCCCATCCCAGCCCTACCCTTCAGGCCTCCCCTCAGGTCCAGCGGGGGTTCCCCACTTCTCTCCCACTCCCCCAAACTCAACCCCCCCCCAAACCGTCCAGACCCCGGCACGCCTCACCCGACACACTGGATTCCCCCATCCGCTCCCCTCCTCGGCAGCCTCCCATTCCTGCCCCCAGGCCAGGGCTCCCCACTCCACCACCCCGGCCAGGCCTGGTGCCTCCCCTGGCGGCCAGGTCCGCCCTCCGCCTTCCTCACGCGGCGTCTCCCCTCAGACCGGCGCCCTCCCTCCCTGCCTCCCGCCTCAGGCCCGGGCGCTGGCGCCCGCACTCACAGAACTCGGCGATGTACCAGGTCACCGCGTAGTTCTCCTCGCACCAGTCCAGCGTGGACGTCGTGGGACCCCAGTAGCCCTGGCGGTCCGCGGCCGGAGCCATAGCGCACGCTGCCGCCGCCGCCGCCCAGACGCTCCTCCGCTGGCTGCGCTCGGCTCGGCAGTCTCCCAGGCCGGCTCTGGCCCTGCTAGCGCGCTCACCGCAAGCCCTCCCCGAGGGGCGGAGCCGGCGCCGTCAGCGGCAGTGCCCGGCGGGGAGACCCCGCCCACCGGCGCCGCCAGGCCGCCCGAGCCGTGCCGGCGCCCCGCCCATCCCGAGGGCGCTGGGGTTTCCCTCGGCCCACTCCTTCCCAGGGAAGGGCTGTGATCTGGCCACGGGGGCGATGGTTCCCCGGGCTGCCCGTCCCAGTCAGACACACGGCTGGCTGTAGGTCCGGGGCTCCTGATAAGCCTGAGGCTGTTCTCTGTCTGGACGTGTCTGAGCCTCTATCTCTGCGTCTGTGTGCGTGGTTTGATATTTAACTAGGGCGGGGTGGGGTGAAGCCTTCGACAAGCCCTGGCTTGATAAAACCTGTGCAAAGATGCACTTCTGTGTCTTCCTTTGAGGGCAGGCCTCAAACGGAGCCCGGAAACAGAACTCTCCCAGCCCCGGGGGAATTCTAGGAAATAGTGATTTTCTGATAAAGGTATAGGTAAGGGTCTCCTGAGATCAAAGGGAAAGGGCAACAGCCCTGGAGGGAGAAAAAAAAAAAAAGGAGGGGAGTTGAAATCCTATAAAAGAATGCAGCCAAAGCACTAAAGCAGAGCTGCTTCAGTTTGGGCTTCCAATCCCAGAGGTTTCCACAGGCTACCTATAATTTTACTCTACTCTCCAGGCAACCAACAGCCTCCCCTACTTCCAGCCTCAAGACTAATACTACACTGCGCTGCCAGAGGGATCTTTAAAAAAAACACAAATGAAACCGTTCCTGCCCCTGTGTAGTGTTCAACTACACATACTCTTCCCTAGCTCAGAACGTGCTGGGGCCATTCCCATCTCAGCCTTTGTCCCTGCGGTTCAGCTGGGACTGCCTTCCTCTCTTCATTTGGCCAACTCCCACTGGCCCTTTAAAATCCAGCATCCTGGGAGCCTCGTGGCTCAGTCGGTTGAGCGGGTTGAGCATCTGCCTTCCGCTGGGGTCCTGATCCCAGGGTGCTCAGCGGGAAGTCTATTGCTCTCTCTGCCCGCCGCTCCCCTGCTTATGCTCTCTCTCAAAAATAAATTAAATCTTTAAAAATAAAAAAATCCAGCTTCCTGAAGCACTTCCTAATTGTCACCCCCAAAAGCTCCCTTGCCTTTGTTCATACTTTCCAGTGATACATCCTGATAAGAAAGCTTGCTGTTCATTCTTTATGATCAAGGCACCCAGGACTCCACCCGACCAGTTTGAAATGAAGATTATAGTTAAGGATGATACAATTGCTATTTTCTAAAAGAACTCGTCGGGGCGCCTAGGTGGCTCAGTTGTTGGTCGTCTGCCTTCCCCTCGGGTCATGATCCCAGGGTCCTGGGATCGAGTCCCACATCGGGTGCCCTGCTCAGCGGGAGGCCTGCTTCTCCCTCTCCCACTCCCCCTGCTTGTGTTCCCTCTCTAGCTGTGTCTCTCTCTGTCAAATAAATAAATAGAATCTTTAAAAAAAAATAATAAAGGAACTAGTCAGATAAGGTGCAATCACAGGTAAAAGAGAGAAAACAAGGGGAGATGTGCCCACAGCATCTGGGCAAAGTGACCCTAGCAGATGGTAGATGCAAAATCTTTACTTTCAGGGTACTAAACCTAGGAATAGAGGCAGTGTGTATTAATAGAAATAGCAGGATATCTGAAAATTTTCACTGAGGACTTACTCTGTCCTAAGCTGTATGTTGAGGGTACAAGGATGTAACTGTCATCCTTGTACTGTACAGTCCTCAGTGAATATGTGGTGAATGAACAACATAAAAAGGCCAGAGTAAGAAAAGCTACAAGAGAATAACAATTTTTAAAATGCCATTACATTTGTTATCTTTCTGTTTAATATAAGTGACTGTACTCATGTTCATTATGGGAAATTTCAAAATATGGATAAAAATAGTTTTATTATGAAATATATAATATATAAAAATAATACATAACTGAATATATTAAGCATAGTAATGAGATAGAGCCTGATTAAGATAGAACCTATATGAGAGCTAGAACCTGACTGATGCCTAAGCCCCATGTATCCTTCTCCAATCTCATTACTTCTCTCCCTCCAGAAGCAACAACCACCTTCCTGAATTTTGTTTGTTTTTTCAAAAGACCTATTTATTTATTTTAGAGAGAGAGAGCATGAGCAGGAGGGGCAGAGGGGGAGGGAGAGAGAATCTCAAGCAGACTCTGCGCTGAGAGCAGAGCCCCACCCTGACCCTGAGATCACAACCTGAGCTGAAACCAAGAGTCCGACACTTAACTGACTGTGCCACCCAGGTGCCCCCTGAATTTTGTTTTTATCATTCTTTCACCTTTGTATACTTTTATCACATGACTGTATCCCTGAGCATATATTTTGCATGTTTTTGAATTTTATAAAAATAGACTCATATAGTAAGCATTCTTCTTAGACTAGCTTTTTTTTTTTTGGCTCAATATTATACTTTTAAGATTCGTCTGTGCTGTTGTTTAAAGCTTGTAGTTTCTTCATTTTTACTCTTTTATGATGTCTTCTATTGCACGACCATGCCACACTGTATTTATCCATTTCCTGAGATGGGTATAAGTTCTTTCCCATTTTTGCTATTATAACCAAGGCTACCTTGAACACTCATTTGCACACATCTGATACACATGTGCAAGAATTTCTTTAGCATGTTACCTGTGAATGGAACAGTCTGCACATTTTCACATTTATTAGATAATGCCAAATAGCTTTCTAAAGTGGTTGTACCAATTTATATTTCCACAATAAAGTTATATTTCACAATATAAAATGTATTTATTTATACAATAAAAATATAATCCACAATAAAAAATATATATAAAGAATCATCTGAAATTTCATCACTCAGTAGTAAGCACTGATAATATTTTGGTATATGATGGGCCAAACAGCTTTCCTTTTTTTTTTTTTTTTTAAGATTTTATTTATTTATTTGACAGAGAGAGAGACAGCAAGAGAGGGAACACAAGCAGGCAGAGTGGGAGAGGGAGAAGCAGGCTTCCCACTGAGCAGGGAGCCCGATGCAGGGCTCCATCCCAGGACCCTGGGATCATGACCTGAGCCAAAGGCAGACGCTTAACGACTGAGCCACCCAGGTGCCCCAGGCCAAACATCTTTCTGTGTGTGTGTGTGTTTTATTAAGATATATACATGTGTATGTTTTATTAAAATAGAATTTTAAAAAATTTTTTTAGTTTTTATTTATTTATTTATTAGACAGAGAGAGCACAGGTGGGGGAGCAGCAGAGGGAGAGGGAGAAGCAGACTCTCTGCCAAACAGAGATCCTGATGTGGGGCTCGATCCCAGGACCTCAGCATCATGACCCTAGCCGAAGGCAGATGCCTAACCAACTGAGCCACCCAGGGGCCCCTATTAAAATAGAGTTTAAAAACACAAATCATTTTGGAGTTTCTTTCTTTTTTTTTTATTTGAGAGAGAGAGAGACAGGGTGGAGGGAAGGGCAGAGAGAGGAGAGAGAGACTCTAAAGCAGACTCATCAATAAGCAGGGAGCTCAATGTGAGGCTCAATCTCATGACCCTGAGATCATGACCTAAGCCGAGCGCTGAAACCAAGAGTTGGATGCTTAACCGATAGAGCCACCCAAGCACCCCTTGGGGTTTCTTGTTTTCACTTACAGTAGATGACAAACATCAAATAATAAATTTTTATGCACCTGCTGATACTTAGGCTTCCAGAAACATTCCTAGAGTGATCATCACTCTCAATCCCAGACTTTGAGACTCAACTGCCACCTCTGTAGCTAGAACCCAGGCCCCACTCTTCAGGCAGAGTCAATGCTTTATTTTCCTTGCTCCCTAGTACCCTGTGCATTTCCCACACTTGGCCTCACTGCCTGTTGACTAGCTTGTACCCAGAATGCAGCTATGAGTTCCTGGAAACAAAGGATCACCCACATGGATCTCTATGTTCCCAGTGCCAGAACTAACATGTGAGCAAGTCCACAGATATTTCTCAGATTAAGTAAATCATCCATTTTTATGAAGCAATCTGGCATAGCAGTTAAGAGGTTAAGAGTATCGGCTCTGGGGCACCCTGGTGGCTCAGTTGGCTAAGCGTCTGCCTTCGGCTCAGGTCATGGTCCCAGGGTCCTAGGGTCGAGTCCCGCATCGGGCTCCCTGCTCGGCGGGGGGCCTGCTTCTCCCCCTCCCTCTGCTGCTCCCCCTGCTTGTGTTCCCTCTCTCGCTGTGTCTCTCTCTGTCAGATAAATAAATAAAATCTTAAAAAAAAAAAAAAGTATCAGCTCTGGGGGCACCTGGGTGACTCAGTCGGTTATGTCCTAACTCTTGGTTTTGGCTCAGGTCATGATCTCAGGGTCATGGGATCAAGCCCCGTGGCCAGCTCCATGCTCAGCAGGGAGTCTGCTTGAAGATTTTCTCTCCCTCTGCCCTTCCCCCCACTCACTCCCACTCCCTCTCTCAAATAAATAAATCTTAAAAAAAAAAAAAGTGTCACCTCTGGAAAGTGGCAAATGTGGCCTTGAATCCCAAACTCACTTCTTAATAAGCTGTGATTTTGGTCCTATTAACCACCATAAGCCTCAATTTCCCCATCTATAAGATGGGGAAGCAGGGGCACCTCTCTGGCTCAGTCGGTGGAGTGTGTGACTCTTGATCCTGCGGTTGTGAGGTTGAGCCCCATGTTGGGTATGGAGATTACTTTAAAAATAAAATCTTTTAAAAAATGGGGAAGCAATAATACCCACTTCACGTTTGGATTAAATGAAAAAAAAAATGGTTGCAAAATACAGTGCCTGGGAAATGAAATGAGATCAAAACACTTCATGGTATTGTGGTATTATTAACACTTTGAAGGAAGGAGAAAGCCTCCTTTGGTGAAGCTCAGGGAATCATCCTGTCCACCATGCACAAGATCTGGGCCTGATTTTCCTGTAAGATCTATTTTCTAAACTAAGCTGAGGGGACGCCGGGGTGGCTCAGTCCA